TCTTTTTTTTACATATCTAATTCACTTTCAATTTCTCTCACTTCAAAGCATTTCAGACATGGGGGTACTTGGATGGTACTGCCCCCTTGCACGTAACGGCAGCGTCTCAGACTGCCCATGAGAGGTGGTGTTGGTGCAGAGCTGCTTAATTTCAAGTGCCCTCATGTCAAAATTGCCCCCCATGCAGAGAAGTCAGTTTGGTTTATACATGTGACAGGATGGCTGGAACGGATTATATTTAGGCTGCAGGTGAGGGAATGCCGTTTTTAATGCTCCTCCTTGTAAGGAAAAATACCCGATAAATAAAAAGCTAGCAAGTAAGCGAGAAAGGTTGTAGCTCAACGTGATCCTGACTGTCCTAGCTTTCTGCTTTCAATGAGGTTTTAAAAATAAATAGGTAAGACAACACTTTAATATGATCCCCACCTAGGGCCTTAAGTGAGGTTCATCCTATCCTATTATTATTATTATTATTATTATTATTATTATTATTATTATTATTTCAGTTTCTAGCGCACCCTCTTTTGATTCACAACCCTAAGGCAGGTTAAAGCACAGCATATTAACAACAATAAAAACACAGTACAGTAGTGCCCCGCAAGACGAACGCCTCGCAAGACAAAAAACTCGCTAGACGAAAGGTTTTTTCGTCCGCGATTTGCCTCGCAAGACGAATTCCCCTATGGGCTTGCTTCGCAAAACGAAGCTTGCCCCGGGGACAGCGGGTCTTCTCTTTTGAAGCAAGGGGCTGCGGGGAGATAGCGATCTCCCTGCAGCCCCTTGCTTCAGAAGAGGTCCGGGGGAAGCGGGAAGCGAAGCGCTTCGCTTCCCCGCTTCCCCCTGACGTCTTTTGCAGCTGTTCCGAAGTGGGGCGGGGGGGCGGGGTCACCTGCCCCAGCCGCCCCACTTCGGAAAGCTGTTCCGAAGTGGGGAGGGGGGGCGGGGACATCTGCCCCAGCCGCCCCACTTCGGAAAGCTGTTCCAGGAACAGCTCCATAGGAACCTCCATAGGCGCCCGTCACCTCTCCAGTTAGGAGAGCGCGCGCGGGGCTAAACCAGCCCCCCGCGACCCTCTCCCAGCTGGAGAAGTGACGCGCGCCTATGGCAGGAGCCTCCATAGGCGCCCGTCACCTCTCCAGCCGGGAGAGCGCGCGCGGGGCTAAACCAGCCCCCCGCGACCCTCTCCCAGCTGGAGAAGTGACGCGCGCCTATGACAGGAGCCTCCATAGGCGCCCGTCACCTCTCCAGCCAGGAGAGCGCGCGCGGGGCTAAACCAGCCCCCCGCGACCCTCTCCCAGCTGGAGTTGTGACGCGCGCATATGGCAGGAACCTCCATAGGCGCCCGTCACCTCTCCAGCCGGGAGAGCGCGTGCGGGGCTAAAGAAACCATAGCCCCGCGACCCTCTCCCAGCTGGAGAAGTGACGCGTGACTATGGCAGCAGCCTCTGAAGGATGCACCGAAGCCTGGCGTGGGGGGGGGGCGGAGAGACCTTCTCCCCGCGCCAGCCTTCGGATGGCTGTCCTGAAGACTTGGGGTGGGAGAAGGGTTTTCCTTCCCACCGCCAACATTCAGAATGCTGTTCTGAATGTTGGCGGTGGGGAGGAAAAACCCTCCTCCCATGCAAGCCCCGGGAACAGAGGGAAAGCGCTGCGCGCCTTCCCCTCTGTTCCCGTACCTGTGCTGAAGGCTTGCGGTGGGGAGAAAAGCCCTTCTCCGCACCGCCAGCCTGGCAAGCGGTTTCCCTAGGAACGCATTAATTGATTTTCAATGCATTCCTATGGGAAACCGTGCTTCGCAAGACGAAAAATTCGCTAGACGACAAAAATTGCGGAACGAATTAATTTCGTCTTGCGCGGCACCACTGTAAGTTAAATGTAACTGCTAAAACACTAAAATTCTAACTCTCTTGTTACAGGCCCTCCAACTGTCCCATTTTTACGGGTACATCCTGGAATTACAGAAGCCACCCTCGCTTCTGATTCAATCCCAGAGTGTCCTACCATTTCAGCCAAGGGGGACCAAAAGAGTGCGGAACCAAAAGACATGTGTTTTGGTTTCACACTTTGCCGCTGCCGGCTGGCACACACGGACAAGGAGGGCCGTTGCTTCCTGAAATACAGCGCCACTTCCAGAAGTACGCCGCTGTGGCCCTCCTCATGTGTTTGTGTGGGGTGCTGTGCAGTGGCGGGACATGCACACACTTGAGTTGGCAAGGCAGTGGGCGGATAAGCTTTGGCAGTGGATTTTGGGGGGTACAAGGATGCGAGCGGTGCGGTGGCAAAGGACGAGTCGGGGTGTCCCCCTCCCAATTTCTTCTTCAGAAATGTTGGAGTGTATGCTGTTAACAAGACAGACAATAAGGGGGAGGGGGATCACAAGCTCATTTCAAAATGACTCCAGAGTTATTTTTGTTTTAAGTATCAATTTCAGCCTGGCCAGAAATACGCATAGCTACCCACTGAACGAGACCGCCTGCACATCTGCAACCGGAGCCCGTTCAGACAAGTGCAAAGGCTTATGGGATCCTCCCTTCCTTTTCCTGGCAGCTTCTCACACTGTACTGCAAGCAGCTTCTCAAATTCTTCCAAGAAGCTGCTTGCAGTACAGTGGAGTTGCTTGTCTTTCCTGACAGCGACCCACCTCCAGGGAAAGGGCTGAAAGGGACTGTCACCTCTTTCTGACAGCATGTCAGGCCCACTCCTGACATCTGAATCTGCTCCACTCCTGCTGCCTGGGAGTTGAAACAGCAGTCAGTCTGTAGATTGCTCAGCGTTCTGACAAAACTAAAAAAAGAACTAGGGCATCCTGCCACCTTGTGACTGGATTCGGAAACGGCAACCTGCAATCCTACGACAGATTTCTGAAAAAGCGATTAGGTTCCCAAAAGCATGCTGAGCGTGTCTTGTTTTATTTTAAAGTAAACCAAAGGACATCAAACGATTGCTAAGCTATGTAAGAATTCTTACTGGCAATTCGATACCACCAAGGAGCCACAGCAATCATTTGAAGTGAAGCATAAGAGCATTTATATTTCAAGGCAGATTTTCAGCTGTTGCCTGTAAAGCTGCTATTTTTATGTTATTTTCACGTCCCCCCTCTTCCTTTCAAGGAGCTCAAGGTGGCCTTCACATTTCTCCCCTTCCCCATTTTATCCTCACCATGACCATGTGAGGTAGGTTATACTACTATAGGGTTACCAGACGTCCCTGGTTCCCGGATCCAGTCCCTGGATTTGCAAATCTGTCCCCGGACAAATTCCGTCCTCGGAATGTCCCCAGATTTGCAAATCTGTCCCCGGGAAACATGGCAGTGGCAGCCTCAGCAGCCCGGAGCCATCCTGGTAGCGCAGTTGGCTCTGGCTGGCTTCAGGAGCTGCTCGCTGCCGTGGCACCCGCCATTTCCCCTGCACTACGGCAGCAAGCAGCTCCTGAAGCCAGCCAGAGCCAACTGCACTACCAGGCTGGCTCCGGGCTGCTGAGGCTGCCACTGCCACATTTCCCAGGGACATTCCGGGGACGGAATTTGTCCGGGGACAGATTTGCACTACCAGGCTGGCCTCTCCTGGGCAATGGTCGCCCGCCCGTGACTCTCCTGATTTGTCAAAACAAAGGGGGAAGGGGATCGGGGAAGGCTCAGGAGTTACGGGCAGGCGGCGCACTGTTGCCCAGTTTTTAATAAAACTGTGCATTTATGTTTCACAGGGTGCGAAAGAAGGGCTTTGCATCTTTATACAATATGCATGTGTGCTTGGGCCCAGGGTCTTTTGCCTTACCATCCAACACCACTGACTCCCTGTTGCTACTCAGCTTCAAAACAAAACAAAACAAAACGGGTCCCCGGATTCATTGAAAAAAATCTGGTAACCATATACTACTAGAACGTGACTGGCCCATGTTTGCACAGTTTGCATTGTGGTGGAGTGGGAGTTGAACCTGGGTTTCCCCACAGTCCAACACTCTAATCACTGGCTGTCTCTATTTAGTGGAACAGATGTCCTGTAGGCACAAAAATGGGAGGGGGGAAGTGAAGGACTAGGCAACCTTGGGTCCCCAGATGTTCTTGAACTACAACTCCCATCATCCCTGAACACTGGTCATGCTGGCTAGGAATGATGGGAGTTGTAGTCCAACAACATCTGGGGACCCAAGGTTCAGAAAGGCTGGACTAGAGGGATATGGGCAAGACACCCAGGATGTGAAGAACCTCTTCCCAACCCTGTCAACAGGGCAAGGCAAGGCAACAGCAAAATTCCCTGGCTGTTCTTTCTGAGCTCCTGATAATCAAATAATAATAATAATAATAATAATAATAATAATAATAAATGTATTACATTTGTATACCACCCTTCATCCAAAAAGAGTTCTGGCACCTCTTTTTCTAGAAAAATAGCACTGAAAATGGGAATGCAAAATACTTAATAAAAAAACAAAAACAATTTCACCTGTCTGCTTCCAAAGGAGAGCCAAAAACAAGGCCCATTCCATTGGCTTGGCTCAGACCAATTGCCATTTGGCTCCTCCTTCCCAGAACTGTCTGCCTCAGTAAACCTGGTCATTTCCCCAGTTTTGAAACATGTTGTATGAATTTGTACTGAATGTTCTTATTTTCCTCATTCCTCCCCCACCCCCACTTTTATACCATGCTTATTTGCCATTATTTTAAACTGTAAATGACCTTGGCTGCATCAGTAGAAAGGCAGCAGATAGACATAGTAAACAAAAATGACAGAAAATGTGAGTTGTGGACCAGTCAAGTACCTGACTCACTTATGTCGATAATGCCTTCTAAGCAAGCTCTCTACCAGTGTTTCTCAAATTTGGGTCTCTAGTTGGTTTTAGACTACAGTTCCCATCATCCCTGACCACTGGTCCTGTTAGCTAGGGATGATGGGAGTTGTAGTACAAAAACAGCTGGAGACCCAAGTTTGGGAAACACTGCTCTGTAGTATCTGATGTAGCAAAAGGCAGCCCCTTGCGTTAGCAGTCTGAAGTCTCCTTACCTGGCTGATAGACTGAAGGCCTGATGCTGGCAGTGGTGACAACTCTGGGCTTTGAGGCAGGAGCCGGGGCTTCGCTGTAGCCTGGGTAAGGAGCAGGGCTGTGGGAAGCTGGAGCTGATGTGTAAGATTGGCCTGGGCCTCTAAAACCAAAGCAAAGCTGTGAGCAATTCATGCATATATACCACAGGATTAAGTCCGATGAAGCATCTGTTGAATGGTGGCTTCCATAGAATGTTGTGAGAGCCTACCAGAAAGTTCCGGAGGCAAGGATGGAGAGATTGTTACCTTAAAATTCAGTACAGCCAGCATGTACTTCTAATGCTTTAAATGCTTTAAAAACTTCTAATGTTTTAAAAGACTGGGTTGAAAACATATTTAATAAAGGAGAGGCATTAGGTTGCTCTTAGCACATCTGCAAAACATTACATCGGAGAACTCTTAGGGCTGCTAAATATGGCTAGCCCCATAGAAAAAGGTGAGATTTCAATGGGGAAAATGGTCCATTGCTTCAGATTCCAGGGAAGATGGGTAAAGGTGGGGTGCATTTCATAGAATCATGGAAGGGACCCAAACGGTCATCTAGTCCAACCCCTGCAATGCAGGAATCTTTTGCCCAATGTGGGGCTCAAACCCATGACCCTGACATTGAGAGTCTCATGCTCTACCAACTGAGCTTGCCTTGTGACTGTTCTTGCCAGTTCACTGACTTGGGAATGTCACGTATGGTGCACATGGGAGATGGTGATTTAAAGTAGTTACAAGAGAGTTTCTTAAAGTGGAGTGGGGGGGGGGGAGCCATTTCAAATGAACTCATTTCAGTGGGAACAGTGAAGCCACCAAGGAAGATCTAGAGTAGCCATCACCTTCCTGGTGTCGAGTTGTTGTTGTTGTTGTTGTTGTTGATGATGTTGTTGTTAGTACCCTACCCATCTGGCTGGGTTTCCCCAGCTGCTCTGGGAGGCTCCCAACAGAATATTAAAAGCATGATAAAGTATCAAACATTACAAACTTCCCTATACAGGGCTGCTTTCAGATGTCTTTTAAATGTCAGATAGTTGTTTATTGCCTTGGCATCTGATGGGAGGGCGTTCCACAGGGCAGGTGCCACTACTGAGAAGGCCCTCTGCCTGGTTCCCTGTATAACTTCACTTCTCGCAGTGAGGGAACCGCCAGAAGGCCCTCGGTGCTGGACCTCAGTGTCCGGACTGAATGATGGGGGTGGAGATGCTCCTTCAGGTATAGCGGACAGAGGCCATTTAGGCTGCACCCCACTCCAGTAGTTTGGTCAGGGAATGTCAGGCTACATCCTGCTGCAGTTGCACTTTGCTCAGATTGAAGACATTGGCAGGCTCCCTTTCAGAGGGTGTTTCTGACCAAGAGACCTTGAGGCTATCCTCTCTTTTTGCACCAGGGATGGGGGTGGGGTGGCAACTGGATCAGAAGCAGTACCTGGCAGACTTCAGATCAACAACTAACAAGGTATTGCACTTAGTATAAAATAAAGGTGGGCAGCTTCTGTAGTCACTGCCAGGGCCATTTAGTTGTCCAGACAGGGGGTCAAAAGGGCAGTTTGTTACACAACCAAACCTCTACACAGGTAAACAGGCTCTTTTTTTTTTTAACCACCCTCAGAGCTGTCTAGCTGTAAGGGTGTCATAAAGGTAAAGGTAAAGGTACCCCTGCCCGTACGGGCCAGTCTTGACAGACTCTAGGGTTGTGCGCCCATCTCACTCTAGAGGCCGGGAGCCAGCGCTGTCCGCAGACACTTCCAGGTCACGTGGCCAGCATGACAAAGCTGCTCTGGCAAGCCAGCGCAGCACACACGGAAATGCCGTTTACCTTCCCGCTAGTAAGCGGTCCCTATTTATCTACTTGCACCCGGGGGTGCTTTCGAACTGCTAGGTTGGCAGGCGCTGGGACCGAGCAACGGGAGCGCACCCTGCTGCGGGGATTTGAACCGCCGACCATGCGATCGGCAAGTCCTAGGCGCTGAGGTTTTACCCACAGCGCCACCCGCATCCCTGTGTCATATATTGCTTAATTACATAGTGCAATTTTAAATTATTATTTTTTAGTGTAATAAATTAGGTCACAGTATACAGTCGTACCTTGGAAGTCAAACAGCTTAGTTCCCAAACGTTTTGGCTCCCGAATGTCGCAAACCCGGAAGTGACTGTTCCAGTTTGCAAACTACTTTTCAAAGCCAAATGTCTGACCGGGCTTCCATGGCTTCCTGCAGCCAATCAGAAGCCGCACTTTGGTTTTCAAACGTTTTGGAAGTCAAACGGTCTTCCGGAATGGATTCCGTTTGACTTCCAAGGTACGACTGTACTGTTTATATAGGAAATGTACATTTCCTCAAGAAAATTAAAAAGGGAGAAAAACAGTGTTATACAAAGACAAAAACTCCCAGCATCATAATTCATATAATAAAAAAGATAACATCTAGCAATACAGCCAAAATAGGAATGCGGATTAGAATTTGCAGTGACGAAGAGGCTCCTGAAAGAGAGAGAGAGAGAAAAGCCTGCTGCTTCATTAATATAAAAGGTTTTTTTTAAGCAAAGTTAGGTCAGCTGTAGGAAGATATCAGTTGGCATTTCTGCTGGAGAAAGTTAAAACGTTGATGAGGGACTGTGGTTTTTTTTTTTTTGAAGAGAACAGTTTAGATACTGGTGACAGTTTCAAAGAACAGCTCAGCAACACTGAAAGCAACTGTGATTGCATCTGCGGCAGATTGCAGCAGGTTTAGACAGCATGTGCAGTTGGAAACTATTAGTTGTCAGAGAAAAGGAAAACCACTGCTGAGAATGAGAAAATTATTTAGATTAATGCTTTGCTAACCATCAACTGGCAAACGGAAAGCAGCGCACTAATTGATTAGCATCTGCACAAAGGCGGTGCACTTTATACCTCTTTTTGGACTGGCAGGTGATGGAAGTAGAAGACTGGTGACTGACGCTAAATAAAAAAAAGACAAAAGTTGGTGTGTGTTTTTTAATGCAATGGAAAATAGGTTCGAAATTTGGAATAATCTGAGAGAACTGGGCAAGTCTGACTGTGCATGGTTTCCAGGTTTAAAAAAAAAAAGCGCAAGGTTTGTTAAGGATGTCAATATTGTAAAAAAAAAGATTAAAGTTTCTTAAATTCATGATTCCCTTTCCACAGGAGTATGTTTAACTGATGCTGAGTCAAAACCTATTTAGTACACTCAATCTCAGGAAGTCCATTAAAGCCTTGCATTTAAAGCCAATTGATTATTAGCCCACATGGGTGTTCTCATTTTTCTGTTTCAGGACTGTTAAGCAGTGCTCCCCCCAAAAAAAATATGTTTAGGGGCGCTCTCATTTTGACTCAAGAAAATCACCATTTTATAGTTCAAATTGGGAAAAATAAAGTAAATGGACAAAAGTACAAAGATTCACAAAATGTTTAGGGGCATGCGTACCCCAGCGTACCCCCAGAAAAAAGCACTGCTGTTTAGTATCATCTTTTAGTAAATGTCAGAAGACAAAAGTATTGCTTTGTTACTATGACTGAACGCCTGACATTACAAGGGAAAAAGAGAACATGTGGGGTCAAGATTAGAATGATTATGAATGATTCAACTAGAGAAAGGCCCTAGCTGCTACAGCGCTATTATTTGGCTCTCTGAAACACTCGAATGCAGTGTTTCCCAAACTTGGGTCTCTAGTTGTTTTTGGACTACAACTCCCATCATCCCTAGCTAGCAGGACAAGGGATGATGGGAAGTGTAGTCCAAAACAGCTGGAAATCCAAGCCTGTGAATCCAAATCTTATGGCTCAGGACATATCATGGCTGTTCCCTTACTGTGCAAGAGGGGAGCAGGATCCAGATGTCAGGTGTGAGATCAACAGGACAGGAGAACTTTATTAGAAAGTAGTTCACACAGCCTTTGGTGTGTGGTGTGAGACAGCTTCTTTTCCATCCAGACTCAAAATGTGCTTGTGATGAATGTGGGGCGGGCCAAGCAGCATGGTCAGGTCTTCTCCTGCACCTCCCACCTGGCGAGTACATTGTTTCCCTCTGTTTGTGGCCAGACCCAGCTGAAGTCCTGCTTGATACAGCAGGTGGAAGAGAAGGCCGGAAGGGAAGTTCTGTGTGTGGAATGGTGTTTCACTGACTGGCAGCAGCTCTCCAGGGTTTCAGACAGGGGACATGTCAAACCCCACTTGTGGAATGAACCTGAGACCTTCTTCATGCAAGCCCTTCTCTCTTAGGTTTGCTGTGAACACTACCTGAGCACTATTCCTTTGCCAGGGCTATAGGGAAAAACATACATATTCACAATCCTCGTAGGCACCAGCTGCTTTTAAATTAACAATTTCTTGCTGGAACTGCCATGCAATATATCCCTCATACCTCACCAATTGCTGTTATTTCAGTTATCCGCCTTGGAAGCAGATAACACTGAAGTTACAAAATATTTTTTTTAAAACCCCCCAAATGGATTTATTCCACTTATATTCCACTTTTACAAAAATCTCCTGTCCTGGTTACTTAATGGGTCAGTGCCCACTTATTTTCAACAGCTCTGTGTTTTCCCACAGCATCTGTTGAACTTGGGGAGAAAGAGAATTTCAAGCCCCTCTGATTTGTTTTGTTGCTCTGGATCTAAATGGCTTTCAAATAATTTTTCCTTGCTCACAGAAATGTCTATTCCAAGCCAACGAGGCCTGTCCTACACATACATATACTGTATTTTTTGCTCTATAAGACACACTTTCCCCCTCCTAAAAAGTAAGGGGAAATGTGTGTGCATCTTATGGAACAAATGCAGGCTGCGCAGCTATCCCAGAAGGCAGAACAGTAAGGGGGATCGCTGCGCAGCGATCCCTCTTGCTGTTCTGGCTTCTGTCTTCGCCGTGTGAAGCCTCTTCAGGGCAGGGGAAGCCTTCATCCCGCTGCCCTGAAGAGGCTTCACGTGGCTATCCCAGAAGCCAGAACAGCAAGAGGGATCACTGCACAGCGATCCCTCTTGCTGTTCTGGCTTCTGGGATTCAGAATATTTTTTTTCTTGTTTTCCTCCTCCAAAAACTAGGTGCGTCTTATGGTCTGGTGCGTCTTATGGAGCGAAAAATATGGTAATTTAGTTACCTGTTTTGGTTTTACTGATTTTATCTGTGTATTTTTTGATGATCGTTCTGGGTATATATTTTTAATCCGTTTTGTGGATTTTAAATGTGTTTCAACCAAGGTTTTAATACGTACTCTGCTCAGAATGCGCTTTGATTTAAGCACTTCATAAATCTTACAGATAATTTGGTAAATAGTTATCTCCCCCCCCAGTATCCTCCGTTTTCTTCCTCTCTTCCCCCACTCCTCCCCTCATTCTCTTCCCAACCATGTTACACACATCTAAGCCAACAGGTGAAGCAAACAGGCACAAAGTATTACCTTTGGCAAGAAGACGAGATGGAGTCGTGCACCATGGAAGTGGCCGCGGCTGACGGCAGGGTCATCTGATGAGCGGCACTGTGAGCGGCAGCAGAGGGCTGATTGGCTGAAGCAGGCGGCACAGCAGAAGGGGCGCAGCTGGTAGACACTGGCGCATGCTCAACAGGGGTACTGATCAAAGTTAAATGGGATAAAACAAGGTTGCGTCTTTAAAAGCTGCAAGCCATTTTTTCCTTTTAACAAAGCCAAGACCTGTTTTGCTCGGGCCCGAAAGGTACATACATACATACATACATACATACATACATACATACAAAGAGGTGAGCAAAATTACTGCCAGGTAATTTTGAAGCATGACTTAACACAGTGTTAAGCTTTGGCCACAGTTAGAGCTGAGGCGAAATGATTTGGCGTTCTCGTTGGACTGGGTCCCACAGCCGAATTTCAGCATGGGGGCAAAATAAGGTTAGTGTGAACTGGGCGGTGCAAATGGGACGGATCAGCAGCCACCTTTGCTGGGAAAAACGCAGAGACGATATCAGGGACAGGATCACCAAAAGGGTTTTCTGGGGCCAACACCAATTCTGCATCCTTGCAGGCTTGGCTACACAAGATCTTGGGAGCAGGGGCACCGACTTGCTGCCCCCCACATTAAGGGGGCCAGGCGTCACGTGACCTGTCCCACCCCCACCCAGCAGGCCAGCCCATCGGTGGCAAGGAGCACAGAGGGTGAAAATTGCCCTCGGCGCCCCCCACCTGGTTAGCCAGCACTTGCCCATTGGAGGTGGGGGGTGGCAGCCCCCTCAATATTGGGGGGTGGGTGGGCTCAGCCCCCTGTCCAAAAATATTGAGGGGGCTGAAGCCCCTTTTGCCCCCTATAGTTGGCGCCCCTGTTTGGGAGGAAACACGGAGTGCAAAACTTTAGCAAGCTGTTGAAAGCAGCTAACATGTGCAAAGGGGGGCGGGGACTTCTATATGCACAGATAGGTTAGAGCTGGAGCAAATTCAAAAACTCTTCCTTCCCTCACCTCTGCTTCTAATTCCGATACAACCAGTCAGATACATGTGTTGCCAGGTGGATATAGGCCCCACACATCTCCCTGAATACCCTTTCCCCCACTTGGGCTGTCACCGAATTGGTTACTGCTTCATATGTGTATCAGCCAGTTTGTTATGTACTGAGTTGAATAGGATCCAAAATGCAGCAGTCTGATTGGTCCTAGAACAATGCAGCAGTATGATTGGCCCGCAGGAGCCACCCAATCCAGCTCCAGGTGAAAGTGAATCCACAACCTGATTGGCTTACAGGAGAATCCCGGAATTAGCCAATCACGTGCAGCTCATTGTGTAAATAATGTATATAAAGCACATACTTTAGGGGAACTTTCATTCCTTCTCACCACTATGAGCTGAATAAAGAGCATGAAATCCACTCTCGACTCCGAATATATTTCACAGTTCACATGAACCTTTCTTAAGTCTACATAGTTATGAATGTGCAAATATAATTACATGGAGAATTGTGTGAATGTGCACTGTGATGTAAAGCGGAAGCCCACTTGCCCTCAACAGAACTTTACAAACTATGCAGACTCCCTCCACTAGCAAACACTCTTCAAGAGGCAGAGTTCGCACATGGCGGTCTCCCTTTGTGGAACTGCACTCATTGCTTACGTGACCCTGTTATGGCACTATGAAGGGTTCTATCTCAGCCATCTCCTGACATGCTCATTTTCTATATGCAGGGAGTTTTATTGTTACACGGGGGTGGGTGAGCATTCAAATGTGATTCTCCACCTGCAGTCCAAATGGTGTAGCCTAACAGGAACTTCAGCATGTGATTTTCCTGATTCAGTTTGTACAGTCTGGTTGCATAGTGCTGTGGTGCACATCAAACTCCAACATCAACGATCTGGTGCCCTTGTGTTGGCATTGGGACCTGGCCTTGTTCAGCTCATGACCAGCAAAAACACTCCTGTGCCAGGATCTGACCGCTTCCCCACAATCTAGATTACAGGAGTGCCATTAATAAGCAGGATGATCGCCAAAAAATTGATGCTTTTGAATTATGGTGCTGGAGGAGACTCTTGAGAGTCCCATGGACTGCAAGAAGATCAAATGCATCCATTCTTAAGGAAATCAGACCTGAGTGTTCACTGGAAGGACAGATCGTGAAGTTGAGGCTCCAATACTTTGGCCACCTCATGAGAAGAGAAGACTCCCTGGAAAAGACCCTGATGTTGGGAAAGATGGAGGGCACAAGGAGAAGGGGACGACAGAGGATGAGATGGTTGGATAGTGTTCTCGAAGCTACAAACATGAGCCTGACCAAACTGCGGGAGGCGGTGGAAGACAGGAGTGCCTGGCGTGCTCTGGTCCATGGGGTCACGAAGAGTCGGACACGACTAAACGACTAAACAACAAAACACGACAACAGATCCACAGATTTCCTTTCGCAGTGTTCTAATGATTGTTTAAGCCCTGAGAGAACCTGAGGAGATATGAGCAGGTTCTCCTGAACTTTGACAGAAACATGGTTTTCTGAAGGTACAACAATTCAATTAGTGGTCCCTTGACTTGCTCATCCTGCCTGTTTGCCAGCTCTAGAACCTCGGCAACGGCCAGGTTTCCTTGTCTGCCATTACTGATCTTCCCATTGAAAGCTATCCTGATGGATCTTATGCCACCTTTTCTGGTTTGAATCACTAGTGTGTATTTTTGCCTGTTCACAGATATTTCAGGGTTTGTCTCCCCTCTAAGTTGTTCTGCCCACCAAAACCCCACTATTCTAAAGCACCACACATTATATTCTACTTCAGAGATGTTATGGGTGCCCCCCTAAATAACAGGAGTTGCTGTTCCATATTACTGGTTTGCATGGAAAATACAAAAGTATATATGCCAAACAATTGGGTGGAAGAATATCACGGGCATCAGTTGTGTGTAAACACATCGACCAGGGATGGGGAACCTGTGACCCTCCAGATGTTATAGGACCACAAATCCCAGCTTCCTTGATCAGCATTAGATGATAGTAAACTTATGCAAACCAAGTCATAGTTAAATGATCATGAGGGCAAACTATTATGATAAACTAAGGTGGTTTAGAGCAGTTGGTTGCACTTGACCAAAATGATTAGTCTTGAAGGGCTATTGGGGGGTGGGGTGGAATAAACAATAAAATGAGTTGGAAGAAAAAGGAGGGGGAACAGAGATAGGAGGAGGAAGAGAAGAAGGGAGGAAAATTGGGTTTTTGTTTTGTTTTAAGAGACTTGAAGAGTTTTAAAAGTGTTGAGATATCATTCCTAGAGATTGCAACATTCTCTGAATGAAGGATAAACTGACTGTGCATATACATTGACTTCATTTCTATATATTCCAGTTAGCTGTATCAAATGATTACTTTATCTATTAATTGCAGGAGTGTGTTCCAGCGAAGGTGAACCAAAAAAGCTGCAGGGGGAAAATCAAGTAAGTTATTTACCAACTCTCCTTTCCCTGTTTCACACAAAGGACAATCCCTGTTTCTTACCCAGTATTTCTATGTCAAATGTACACCATGCCATTCTTAACAAAAGTTTTAGAGATGCAGTTTCGTAGATTCTGTCTGGATTCTAAGTGCCCACACATGGAAGGAATTCTGTCCACAGCCCAGGACAGAATTCAAACTCTATACCTTGTTGAGCTTGGAAAAACGCTATCAGGATCATCAGTAAGTTATTAACATACATATATAAAACAGTGTGAAAATGCTATTTTGACAGCCCTTCATGTGGTTTTAGAATGATTACTGATGTACCAGAATTCATATGAGCCATTAGATATTATACAGAACACTGTGCAAAAAATTAATATCTTATACCTCACAACAGACCCAAACATTTGTACTGGCCTTCAAAAGCAGCCTACTATCATATTATGTGACAGTTGCACAACAAAACCTTACATTGGGCCATTGGATGTTTTCATGTTAGCTTCTACCTGTAGATTGGCTGATTCATACATGCACATCAATTGTGGTGATAACGGCAACATGAATGGATGACCTAGGTGTGTGAATGAACAATTTCAGAGCTAAAATGCAGAGTGAACATTCAAAACCACAAAACCTTCCTTCCAACACAATAGTCCACAGTAGAGGCAGTGATGCATCTTAACATGAGTAGCCTGAAATGGTGGGGGGGTGTGTGTGGAGTGTTATTGGGCTCAGATTCTGCTTGTGGGTTTCCCAAAGGCAGCTGGTTGGCCACTGTGAGAACAGGATGCTGGACTGATCCAGCGGGCTCTCCTTACTTTTTGTTGGAATCCATTCACACTTTCAACTGCAAGCCATCGAGTGTTGCGGAAACAAGTAGTGAGACGTAGTATAAAGCACATGCATATGTGAACCAGCCAAATCCTCTTGATTGTTCTTCCTATTCCACCAGCTTCTATTAAATCCCATATTTAGAAGGGGAACTTCAGAGGAAATCCAAGTTTCTTAACATACAACACATACCAGGACAGCGCCATACAGGTGAAAATACAGACACACACACAACTTGTCGGCAGGCTTGATGCCTTCTGATACAGAATTGCACAGTCCAGCACACGTTAAGATGGTGAATTTTTTTTAAAAACTGTGTTTAAAACACACAAAACCCACGCTGAAGCTTTTAAGCACAAAGTAGGGAACACACTGGTAATATGGAGAATAATGACCAGTCATCATGTGTGGTCTTGCAAAAGAGCACATGATGGACATTTGTGGTTATTCTCTGTTAGGAAATGCACAAATGTATACTTGCACCTAGTTCTCAAGTAAAAATCTAAACCTGGTAAAAGTTGCAAGCTCTGTATTGAATGGGAACTTGGATGGAAATGAACATAGTTTGGAAACTAATATGGAAATGTTTTTAATCTTTACAGTTCAGTTCAATGTGTTCTCGGAGGCCCCACTAATTTTAGTAGGATTTACTCCAAAGCACAAGTAGCAAGAAGCTTGAACTAAAACAAATCACAACTTGACTAAATACGGATGGGCAAGCAATTTAGGCAATCATTTAATTCAATAAATTGATATTTCTCCAGGGGTGGCTAACTTGTGGCTCTCTAGCTGTAGTGGGCTCCAACTCCCATTAGCCACAGCCAGGATTAGCCAATGATCAGGATAATGGAAACTGTAGTCCAGCAATATTTGGAGTGCCACATGTTAGCCAACCCTGATGCAGAGATTTTTTTTCTTTACTCGAATTCAGTAATTTCTTGCAAGTGTGGGAATGGTAATACACACCTGGTTCCCAGTCATGGGAACTCTATTCATTTCAGTGGAGAAATCTGATTGTGCATCCCTTTGCACAAATGAAACTGTTATGTACTGAACTGAATCCTAGAACAATAGGATCCAGAATGCAGCAGTCTGATTCATCCGCAGGAGCCACCCAATCCAGCTCCAGGTGGAAGTGAATCAGTGACCTGATTAGCCTGCAGGAGCAGCCAATCAGGCTTCTGGTGGAGGTGAATCCGCAACCTGACTGGCCTACAGGAGCAGCCCGGAATTAGCCAATTACACGGGGCCCATTGTGTAAATAATGTATATATAGCTAGACGTTTTGGGGAAAGTTTCATTCATTGCTACTATGAGCTGAATAAAGAGAATGAAATTCACACTCAACTCCGAGTATATTTCAGAAACTGTGCCCTCCGCTAAAGTGAATGGGGGAAATCTCACGCAGGAGCTCCAATTCTGGACCTAATTTCTCTCTGTGGCTAACACAGCCTCGTATTTAAGCACGCACCTTGTAGAAACTGCATGCCAACGAGTGAGTAAGCTAGTGGAAGAGGAGCTGAGAGCTCTGCCCCTCTGAGCAGATTGCAGGAGGAGGGAAGCCCAAGCTCAGGAGGAGGGATGCTGCTGCCCACCCCTTCTCTGCCAGCCTACAGCAGGCTAGTAAAACAACTGTAGGCTAGCAACCTCTGTGAGCATATTTACAAAGGCTGGGCCAACACATACTTGTGGAATTGTTTTTTTGAAGCAGAATTAGTTGGGGCAAATTCCCTTTATAAGTGACAGTTGCAGTTATTGTGCAATAATCTGGAGACGTGATGCTGCTGTAATCATTTATTACAGACAATTATCTAACAGTGAGGTAAGATGTAACATTTAATGTCTCATATTAAATACTGTAATAGAGCAGCCTTTCTCACCTGTGGGTCCCCAGATGTTGTTGGACTACAACTCCCATCATCCCTAGCTAGCAAGGCCAGAGCTCAGGGATGATGGGAGTTGTAGTCCAACAACATCTGGGGACCCACAGGTTGAGAACTGCTGGTATAGAGTGTCTTTAAATATTGGAATGTTCCATTAGAAGTTAGAAGAGGTTATTACAAAACCCAAAGCAAAAATCCAAACCAGGTCAGTCATGGAGTTGCATGGTGCAGTGTACCTTTGGTTACTGGAGAAGGCAGGAGGGACTGTCTGGCCAGCACTGTGGCAGCTGGCTTCCCTCTGACTTGTACCAGTCCCAAATCTCACGGACCCTTTGGAGGCCATTGCTCTAGCTCTGTCAGTGTTGGCATCTGTGCTGCAAGACTTAGGGCAATGCCAAACACTTGACGTCGCATACTGTGCCTCGTGAGCAGTACCTGCAGCGCTGGGCAACAGAGATTACAAGGGTGCATGTGCATAAGAGAGGTCATTGGGTGGGGAATCACATCATCTCCAACTTAAAGAACAACCAAGACTTGGGCTGGGGAGGGACGGGGTTGGAATCAGGCCAAACAAGGAGCTGGCGTTTAAAGGACATAGATCTACATGGCCACTACGTAAATCTACCGTAGGATGCAATGCTTTGAAACGTTTTTGCATCCTGTTGTAAAGCTCTCATGTAGCAGGGAGGGGATGCACACAGAAGCAGATTGCCTTGTGTGCAGGCAAGGCGGGTGCAGTGTGCATCTCAATGCACAACCATATTGCACTGGTCATCCAGGTCCCGCTGGAATGACAGGATGCAACTTTTGATGTGGACTCACATCCTCATTTAGGGACCACTAGTTTTTATGCAGAACTAGTTGCATGGGAGTATAGCTGCCTCAGGGTCACTATTTCCCATGTGTTAAAGAAGAGCATTCAAGGATACAACCCACCCGGCATAATTCCCATAAAAGTCTTCCAAACTTCAAAGGCTTTTGTGAGAGAGAGCTCAATGAGTTGCTCCTTAAAATAGAATAATAATAATGCCAAGATATAATATTAGGTGCCCAAATGAAAACTCCTGGATTTCATAATGAAGACTGTGGTTTTTCTGACATTTTTGTTGACATCATAGATACAAAAGCACCTGAAAATATGCCATATTTCCATGGTAAATACATTCTACTAGTGGAAGAGAAAGAAAATAACCACTAGCTTTGTTTTACAATCCCTTGTCCAAGAGTGCACATACTGTAGTGCTTAAATGGGTAGATTCTATAGCAGTTCTTATGCTTCCACTTGCTCATGAAGTTGTGCAAACTCCTGGACAATTTATTGTGGAAACAGGGGAAAAAAATAGGAGGAATGAAAAAAAGAGAATATTTTTATATGCCACAACGGCAGCTAGAATATTAATAGCTAGGAATCAGAAAAGTGAAATAGTACCAACAAAAAGGGAATGCCAGGATAAGCTATTTGAATATCTCGAGTTGGCAAAAATGACGGATGCGATTAGGAGACAACCTAACCAAAAATTCCAAAAGGAATGGGGAATCTATAGAGATTATGTAAAAAAACCAATGTCCCCAAGTAAAAACTTGGATTTGCTTTGAATAATTTTTGCAAACCACAATATGGATTATTAGTATAGTATGTGGAAAATAGGAGAAATGAAGAAAGGATAAAAGGAGAAGTTCAAATAGATAAAACAGACCCACTTAGAGGAAGATGGAAGTCTATTGGAGAAGACAAAGAATTAGGATTAAAGAATATGGTGACATAAGTCTGTACATAAGAATTTATGGATTTGTAGTTGTATGTATGTTTTTGGTATTTTGTTTCTTTGTTTTTAATATATTTTATTAATTTGGTAACTTTACTGTTTATGTTTGTCTATTAAGTAAGAAAATTAATAAAACGCAATTATATGTGTGTGTGTGTGTGTGTGTGTGTGTGTGTGTGTATATATATATATATATATATATATATATATATGCAGTTTGGTGTCCTCGGGTGTTTGGTTTTAATTTTCTTGTGCAGGGTGTTAAAACAGAACTTCCATGAGCTGAAGATGCCCTTTGCTTGAAGATGCACTTATGGATCCAACCCACAGCCTAGGAGTGTCTTCAGAGAACTGAGAAATCTAGAAACTTGTTAGAACTTTCTTTAACTGTCAGGTAAAATGGGAGGTCCAAATACTGAAAAGCAAGAGATTTAAGTTATAAAGCAAAACAATGAGTCATGAATGCAGGAGATGCATGGTGAACACAGGCCAGCTGCACAGTGATAGCTGAACCAACCATATTTCAGCAGTAACATGTGCTGTATAGTATATTAAAAAAAATAAACAGGGAAATGGGTGTGACTTGCAAACAGCCCTATTACGTGTCCCCCTCCTAATTCAGCTGTGGAATTTATGAAGAGAAATTTAGAATGACAGCACAAGAGAAGAACCATTCTGTTACTTGACCAGAAAGTTTTAGGGGGGAAAATGTAACTAAAAACACTTCTAAATAAAATGGTGCAGAATTCCAGTGGATTTACATTTGAAAGGTTAACATCTATCCTGATTGAAACCAAGACCAATCTCTTTCTAGAGGACAGTTTCACAGTGCAGGCACCCCTTTTTATCCACTATAAACATGTATTCTAATCTGTTCAAACAGTTCATAAATCAAATAACCCCAAATCTAGGATAAAGTTAAGAGGGCTTCAACCCACTGATGAGCAGGATTTAAAGGCATATAACTATTTGCTGGGTGTGACCGTTCTGTGTCTGAGGGAAAGCATCTGTAATAAACAGAGGAGTCAAGTCTACAAAAACACATTACCTGTTTTCGGGAGAGCCAGCAACATTTTTCTTGCCACTGTGGAAGGAGGGGAATATAGTATGAATACAATTAATGATTGTTCCTGTGGTGGGAGAACTATTGAGTTGTGCTGAAAGGTAGGTGGTACACGGCTGGCTCCAGCAGTTCGCAAAGCAGGGAGGGCCGTTGTTAGGGTCCAGACACAGATAAGGGGCTCACTGAGAACGTCAGGGAAAACAATGAAAAATGCAGGCCTAATTTCTCATTAGGTGGTACACCTGCACCTGGACTGCCCCACTTCAGACTGCAGGGGAGCTGGGAGATCCAACAATTCAATGTCTCTCTGTACAAAATATTAGTAAATCCATGCGCTTAGAAAGCTAGATTACAAGGGGTCTAATCTAGCCGAGCCTTCTTTCTGACAGGCTAGTTTTCTATGTGGAGGGTTGAGGATTTCTTTGGGGAGGAGGGGGTAGGTTGTGTGAAAGAACATTCAGTCCCAAGAGTCCCCATCTGCAGTGGTAACTGAAAATTTAATGGATTGAAATTTCAGTGAGAAGTAGCACCCCATAAACTAGTTAAAGGAACCCACTGGATATCTATTGCCATATATTCTGTCTAGAGTAAGAATTAGGGTTGAAATGTTTACATTCTCTGCATGTTTGCAGAGAATTACGACCTATTGTGATCAGTGGGGTTTACTGTCAGGTAGGTCTGCATACTGCAAGTCTTAGTCGATAATTAATCAACCAATTAATTAATTAATCATTCAATCAATTCAAAAGGTGCCCCCCCATTAAGTGGGAAACACTTTTTCTTTCCTTTCAAAGGCTGTTAATTATTTTAATACAAATTCCAGGTGGCAGGCATCGTCTTAGAAGATGAGTTCCCTCCGCCCTTCTCTCACAGAACAAAATGCCTCATAGAAGATAGTAACTGCTTGCTATTAGGGATGGACAAATTTGTCAATTTCAGTTTCTCTCAGTTTCCCAACTTTAGGTTCAGTTTCCCCCTTTTCTGCACCCATTTGCAAGTGCTTCTTTAAAGCCTACATTAAAAATATGCATTTTCATATGCATTTCTTTTGATATGTGCAGTCTTTGTACACAAATTTGCCTAATATACACATTTTTGCAAGCAACTTCCCCTTCCACAAAGCGGCTGGGAATGTTATTTTCACTGATATATGCATTTTTGGGCATACTTTTTGCGTGGAAAAACGCTTCACAAAATTCTGAGAAGTGTAGATCTTGAGGGCAGCTGCATCTTGGTTCAGGAACTACAAACTAGTTATAGATAAGCATCGAAATGCAAGCTGAATGAATTTCTCCCCCTGAATGATTTTCTGCTCTGTTCCTAGCTGCAATACATGTATGGCTAATCTAAATAATGCGTGGGGAACCTGCGGTCCTCCAGATGTTGATGGATTACAACTCTTATCATTCCTGACTGCTGGCCCTGCTGGCTGGGGTTGATGGGAGTGGTAGCCCAGCAAAATCTGGAGGCTGTGAACATTTCCCGTATTTTTCGCTCCATAAGACACATTTTTCCCCTCCAAAAAAGTAAGGGTAAATGTGTGTGCATCTTATGGCATGAATGCAGGCGGGAGGCTCCGCTCAGCGCTCCCTTTAAAGATCCGTGTGGAGCATGTCAGTCCCTTCTCTCTCCTTGGGGAAAAGCCCCCAAGAGTCGCACACACGCTCTGCGCTGCTCTTTAAAGGGAGCGCGGCTCTTGGGGGCTTTTCCAGGAGGTGGGGGAAGGGACTGACAGGCTGCCCTCTGTCCCTTCCCCCACCTCCCGCAAAAGCCAGCAAGAGCCGTGCGCTCTTTAAAGAGCCGCGCCTAGTGTGTGTGCAGCTCTTGGGGGCTTTTCCGTGAGGTGGGAGAAGGAACTGACGGGCTGCCCTTCTCCCTCCTAGGGAAAAAGCCCCCAAGAGCTGCACACACGCTCCACGCGCTCTTTAAAGGGAGTTCAGCTCTTGGGGGCTTTTCCTAGAAGCCAGAACAGCAGAGGGATCACTGCGCAGCAATCTGTCTTGCTGTTCTGGCTTAGCCGCGTGAAGCCTCTTCAGGGCAGCAGGATGAAGGCTCCCCCTGTCTTGAAGAGGCTTTGCACGGCTATCCCAGAAGCCAGAACTGTTCTGGCTTCTGGGATTCAGAATATTTTTTCTCTCGTTTTCCTCCTCCAAAAACTAGGTGCGTCTTATGGTCTGGTGCGTCTTATAAGAGCGAAAAATACGGTAATCAACAGCAATAAAAGACCACTACTGTTATGGGAGCAGCTGAACGAGAAACTTTGGTTTCCTGTTTCTGATGTACTTATGTACTTGGTCACTTAATTAAAATTGAAGTGTTTATAAATCAGGTGCTTTGCAGATATACAGTAGGATAAATAGACATATGCATTTAGATCTTTAGTTTTGAGAACTGTCAATCCTTTTTTTAAAAATAGACTGCCATGTTATTGTTTGTTTATTTTTAAATACACGCCAGTAAACCCCATGCTCTACCAATACATTGACCTAAATAAATTACTGAGCCATTGTGATGGCGCCCAATTACTGGGGGTATAGTATTACATTCCTCCAAAATGCCCATCCTTTGTGAAACACCTAATAGTTGAGGGACTCCATACAGATTTCAGTGATTTGTGCCCAATTGTGTACTAATTGCCACTGACGTCCAACTCTCAGCTTGGTTTCCAGCTCTTGGAATAATTGCGTAGGTGCAGCAGTTTACATCTTTGGATCTCTCCAGAATTGAGGATCCTTCTTGCTTTGTCAAACAGGTACTTAAAGTATAAAGCTTTTCCTCAGGAGTTCTGATGTGTGATATCAAACACAGGGGAGCTGCACACCTGACAATATCCCACCAATCTATTACTATTGAGAAGATCTATTACTGTGAGAAGATGGTCACTATGCCCATGAGCTAGCTACGCTATGCATTCTTCATTTTGAAGCATGAGAATGGAGTCCCTAAATCAAGCACTACTTATTTTCCATTGAAGCAGGGGCATTACAAACATGGAAACAGCAGTACTTTGGCTACACCAACCCCTTCATTTGTATATGCTCTGAAACTGGCCAGTCCAGGGGAGGTGAGATTTGTGTTCCACACAGATGTATCAACCAGCCTCGGACTTCAAGTTGGGAATAAGAAATTCTGACCAAAGTTGCCTTTCCCCTGTTATGCAGCTATAATATACCACATAAAGGCTGTATGGGCAAGCCCAAGTTATCAATCCACTTGCAAGGTTACATATAGAACAGCAGTCAGGCTCGGTGGTGTGCAAGTGTGTATGTTAGACAAAGTAGTCTGTGAACGAAAAGAAGTGTTAAAATAATATACCAAGAACCAAAGGGCATGCAAAAAACATTTTAAAGATAAACTTCCACACCCATTCAGCTTGGGGGTGCGAGGAAATCTGAAGCAGTTTATTTCCAACGTAGCCAAATTTACAGCAACATAAAGCAAATGATCCAGATCAAAGACAAGACCAAAGATTAGGCTTCTAGCAGCATTAGGCCTCTAAAATTATGGAAAAGGCACCGGGGAGTGGGAATCATTGTAGGCTATGCTAGCCTAAAGGTGAATTTGTTTTATATTTCTGTTGCTCCTGTTCCAATGCAATTTTTGGCATCGCCCTGTAACAAGGTCCTTATGGAACTAGTCTGAATGGTGACAATTCCAACTTAATTTTCAGCCTTCCACTACATATGTGTGGCATTGATGTTTAAGCATGGGCTCAGAGATCCCGTGAGCAGAATTTTGCTTACAGAGATCCCGTGAGCAGAATTTTCCTTCCCCCTACAGCCCCCCTGAAAGGCTGTTCTGTAGGGTTGCAGGGTCTGGGACCCTCCTGGAACAGTGTGGGATCAGTGAAAATCATCCCCTTCTTCCAGTGGAAGCTTCTGTTGGATCTCAGTCATTTCTGTGACTGTCAGAACGTCAGGTTCCTCAACCCTTTGTGGTGGCTGCAGTGACACCCAGGTCCATGTGCATCTAACTGGAGGAGATCAATAAAATAGGTGTGGCTGAGGACAGACAACTGTTTAACAAGTGCACTCAGTAAACTGGTCCTCTGCTTACATACCAGCTTTGCCCATTGCAAGATGATGAGTGAATATAAACGATAATTTATCAGTTAGCAAACTGTTGAAGTGCAATAGAACTTTGCTCCTTATGCTAGTCGTCTGTATCATCCTGAGAAATAGTAAGGAATTTTTTTTTTTTTTTGCTACTCTTTTGCACTTAAAGCTGGGAAAGTAGGCGACTGGCATGATTGTCTACACTACCCGGCAGGGTGATAAAGATGGCCAGCTATTTGAGTGGCAACATTCATCCATTGGCAACCATCATCTTGCAGTGGGGGAAAAGTGAATCTTACAGAAATTGTTCTTTTAAGTGTCTGTATCAAAGGAGCTACTGAATGATGACGGCAGGGGAGTTGTGAAATTTAAAATGAGAGAGAATGGCATGAAACAATGCAGGGGGGAAATACAGTCCCTTACAGCAATGCAGAAGAAAAGGAAAAATTCAGAGTTGTGACAAAAGGAATCAGCAAGTGCAGATCTCAGCGAGCAATTCTCTATTTTGTTTTTAAACTTTACATGTTAATCTTTCTTGATGTGCTAGCAATGGGCTATATTAGACGGTCGAACGGAAGGACAACAATTACTGACTATAAACCCAGCTACCGAGCTATAAGTGCTTTCTGGTGCAGATATCAAGGGCCAGTTCATCACTTGATGGTTAGAGAGCACCAAGGCATGACTTGCATATGCAAATAGGCCATTAAAAACTAATCACTACAGGCAGAACTTCCACGTCACCTCAACCACAGTGCTTTTCAGTAGTTTGTTCACACATTCAGCTGACGGTGTTCAAGTGCTGAACAATCAAGCATATGAGAACCAGCCCATTTGGCTGCAGTTGATCTTCTTGCTATTGCCATCTATTTTCTGATTTATTATGAACTGCTCCCCCCACCCCCCTTTTTGGCTCTTTATCATGACAAAGAACTCAGCTAGATTGGTAAAGAAAAAGCGTTTTAT